ATGAAACTCTTGTAAGTTGGCGCCTTTTTGCGTGCAGCATCCCAGGTCCATCATTCATTCAGATGGATGTCACTTCATGACCTGATGAAGCCTCGAAACCCTCAACCCACACATCACAAAAAACAAAGAACACAAGAAGGTGTTTTCTGCCAGCGTGCCACAGAGCTCGCGGAGAAAGACCACGACGCACAGCTTCTGGCGGCTCGGGAAGGAAGACACTGCAGACGTAATATACGGGGTCGGAATCGTCAAAAGCAACATCCCGGTATAGTCCCTATGCAAGAAGTTACACTGCCGATAAGTACTGTAATGTTAGACCCTATTGACACTATGATTTGAATCCAGGCTTTCTCCTCTAGTTATATATCAGCATGGTGCTCGTGGGTTCTCCTGAGCTTTGAGCTCTTTAGGGTTTAGGGGTTTAGGGTTTAGGGGTTTGGGGGTTGTTCGTTTTGTGTGCGAACTCGCACTGATGACCCGGAAACACCTGAAGAGGTCTGGCTGCAAATGGTTCAAAAGTTTTGGGTTGAGACTCTTGAGATGGTCTCGCGCGTCTTGCCCGAATGAGTTTGAGGAAAGTCCGCACTACCCTCAATGCCAGACTTGCACATACACGACGGGGGCAAATGTCGGAACGCCCCTTGTAGATCTTGGAATATTGCACATTTTTTGAGTCAAGGGGCCGTTGAGCGTAGGACTGTCACGCGACTCAACCCCCAATCAATCGTAAGTCGTACACAGCCTTGGATACTGCCACCCCTCAGCAACAGTTGAATATTCTTGATAACTTAGCAATATCCCTAAACCCTAAACCCTAAACCCTTAATGCCTTGCATTGAATGGTAGCCCTACTCTTGACTGTTACTGTATGGGGCCAGTACCGAACCTAAACCCTCAAGCCTCAAGTGTAGCCTTCCCACAAGCCTGAGTCCCACCTTAGGTAGTATTGTTAGGGGTACCCCTTAAAGGTTACCTTAAACGGGACCTTATTGAGAGGGTCTATATCCCCAAGGGTCCCCCTAATCCTAGCTCCCACACCTCGAAGTCCGAATCCCCGAAACTTGAGATTATTAGAGCTGGGTGCGTAGGTAGACTGCTAGGTACGGTACGACATACTCTACAACCTCAAGGTAGCGTAGTGATATGTGTATGCATGTGTGCATATATATATATATATATACATATGTATATGTGTATATGTATATATGTAAGTATATTTGCACAGAGAGAGCCACTATAGCGGGATTTCATACTATCCCAGGGCTTGCAGATGGAGAATGAGCGCGTCCGCATGGAGCCTCCGGGCTTGCGAAAGGTTTGGGCATTTTGGGACTTGAGGTTCAGGGTTCAGGGTGTGTACTGTCTTGTGGGTCAAGCTGGGCAGTAAGGGCAGCAGCAGAGTCCCTTGTGAAAAAAAAGGGTTCAGGGTCAAAAGGGTTTCCAGGCGTTCTTGTTGCAAGCCTGCAGCAAAAAAAGGTTTAGGGTTCAGAGTTTAGGGTTTAAGGTTGAGGGTGTCGGTCGTGGTCTGGCTAGACTTGAGTGCAGTAGCAGTAGCAAAAAAGGAATAGGGTTGAGGGTTCCACAAGATTTGGCTTTTGGGGGGTTACGGGCGAGGGGTTTGTATCTTGGGAGATGCATTGCAGGCCAGATGCGAAAATGCACTTCAGGGTTTGCGGTTTGGGTTTAGGTTTTGATTTAAGTGAAACTCCAGAATCCCAACCTGCTCCAATAGACCTGGAACCCTTAAATCATTTAAGGGTTCCAGGTTTATGGGAGCAGGTTGGGATTCTGGAGTTTC